TATAGATATGTATATATAATTATGTTCAGATACGCATTCGTTTATATTACATTTATATTACATTTTGTTATGTTTAAATTTCTATGTAATGTTTATTTCTTGTACGCACGATTTTAAGTAGTATAGTTTTTTCAACGCATTTGTTATGTTAAAAATATTTTAAATGGGCACATTGTATTGTTTTATGACATAACAAACATTTTATTACAAACGCGAATTTGTATTTTTCTAAATTAATATAAATAAAAAAATAAAAAATAAACATTTATCATTTTTATTATATTTATTATTCCTTTTTTGTTATTTTTTTTAGAAATGCCAGTGTGGTAGCTGAAAATATTACAATCAGGAGCGGTAGCTAAAAATGTTACAATCGGGAGATATCTAACTCCTTTATTAATATAAATCAATTGTAAATAAATATTTTTAATTTGTACATTTTTCCATTTTATATTTACTTTTTTTATTGTAAAAATAAATGTACCTTTTTTTCTCATTCTAAGAAATTTATTGTCATCCAGTTTTGTTATTTATTTATTTGGTAATTTATTTGGTAAAGTTACTTTATTTTTTATACTCTTTTACTTTATTTGTCAGAACTGAGACAAAAGTCGATTTTATAATTCTTATTCATTATTGAAACTCACTTAATTGGAAAATATAATGAGATTCCTTGTATAAGAAAATTAAAGCAACTTTATAAAATATTGTACGTATTCCTTTAAATTAAATTTTACATACAAAATATATTTTAAGAAATATATATTATTTATTTTAATAATATATTTGGCATAATATACTCATTTCCCTTTTTTTCATAATAATGTATTTAATTGTTTTGTTTTTAATAAATAAATATTTTTTACATTTCTATTATTGAGCACATTTACAAAATAATTTTGTGTTAAAAGACACCAAAATATACTTGACGTTTTTTACATTTCTAATGTCTTTTTTGACGGATGCATTTTACTGAAAGTTCATTCAAATATAAGCGCTGTACAATTTTTAATATGGCGATCGGTCATGTGACTTGGGACAACCACATCAAAGGCACCGACAGCGTAGTGACCCTACTGGGTATGGTTATACCACAGTATAACCAGTAGTGGCACTCGCTCTTTTGTTTCACGTTCGCGCCGATCCGTACTGCGCATCCGACATGTTTTTATTCTGACCAATCACAGGATTTTTGTACGTGTGTTAGTGCAAAGTCGGTGTGACATTGAAAAATTCGCAGTGTTGACGAATAATGGGTAAATACTTTTATACGTTGGAGCAAGTAATTACATTAATTACTTTTATTAGAACGTTTTCTTTCATATGCCATTTCCATTTACAATAAATAATGTATGCCAGTTCGTATGTGCCTTTCCTGGATACGATCCTGAAAAGGGCCCAGGCACTTTTAGCCGTTGATACACTGTTGGCGCGAATAAAAACATGGCGGAAAATTGAGAACGCCCAGATCAAAGGTGCCGACAGATGGCTCTTGCAGACCAGCGCGACGACGCGACGCGCGACGCGCGATATCCAATCAGCGCACAGCTTTTCTCAACGTCACATCCGTCGCTGTGAAGAACGCGACGTCGCGACAAAAGTTTCAACTTTGACGATTTGTCGCACGCGACACACTGGGCTGCGTTCAGAAACACCACCCGATCCATCATTCTATCCTTGTTGCTCATCGTATGTTAAACAAGGATAAAATATACGCCAGTGCGTTCGGGTGACGTTTCTGAACGCAGCTCTGATCTGATGTCTAGTGAACTCTTTAGCGTAGCCATATTGGTTCGACTGGGAGCCAAGTAACCTCTAGCTAAAGGTACGTAAGCGGCGAGCGCTCGGTCACAAATATTTGGCTGTACGGGAATTCTTGTATTGTAATTAATAGACTCATCTCTCTTGATTTGCTCTTTTGCTTACAATTAGTTCCAATCGCTCAATGACATAGGCTGTTCTAGTTTCAAGATATTGAGAAACAATCGATTGATTTTTCTTACCGAAGATCTACGTATGTAGTCTTTCTTCGGCGGAATTTAAAGGTCCTGAGATTGTTTTATAAAAATTTCGAAACATCCGACAGAATCTGCACGATGCGAAGCCGAAGATCGTATCGTCGAACCTGGCGCTCGATAGTAATCGCACTGTGGTCGACATCAAGGAGGAACTAACGTACATGAGTAGTAATGAAGACTTGAAGAAGGGCCATAATGACTACATCCTGAACAGGATTCCCGCCGGCGCTGAGGTAACAGTCGTACTTGTTGACGCCGTCGACTTTCTGGATCAGCCGACGATAGCCTTTGTACGATTGGCCGAAGGTGTATTTATGCCGTCCATCACCGAGGTCAAGATACCGGTCAGATTCATTACCCTGTTGGGGCCGAGAAACGCAGACCTGGATTATTACGAAATCGGCCGGTCAATCTCCACTAATATTTTTTTAAATTTGTGAATCAAATATCCGACAGCGATTTAGTAGAAAATTTATTGATTTAAAAACTTTTCATACATAATTATATATAAATGGCTGTATGGGGGTAATTACGCCAAATTGTGTATGAGATATATCCATACCATAACTGTATTGTATAATTCTATGCGATTATATCTATATATAAAAAATACTTAAGAGAGATCGGAGAAAACTAACAATTCTTGTATAGCTTGCACTAGCTTCTCGGCCATTACAAAATACGTGGGATGATTTCTACATACCAGAGAGTATAAGTCAGGATAAGCAAGTGGCAAGCCGG